GATGGGTGCGGTGGCGGTCGCCCAGGCTGGTGACCGCGAGCCTGCTTTCCCAGCGGCTCGTGGACGAGCTCGCCGCGAACCTTCAGGAGGGACGAGGACGGCGGGGGATAAGGAAGGAGGGCGGGGAGGTAGGGAGGAGGGAGGAATGGAGGGAGGGACGGAAAAAAGGAGGAGAGATGATGGTGGAGCAAAGGAGGGGGGGAGGTACGAAGGCGGCAAGAGGCAGGAGACAGGAGGAAGTAGCGAGGGAGGGAGAGAGGGAGGGAGGAAGAGAGGAAGAGAGGAAGAGAGGGAGGAGGAGGAGGAGGAGGAGGAGCAGGAGGAGGAGGAGGAGGAGAAGGAGGAGGAGGAGGAGTCCATAGGAAACCCAGCATGCATCGACGACGCTGCAAAACATCCTCGCATCCCAAGTCCCCGCCTCATGAGTCCCTGCAGGCAATCTGTGTTACTCTTTAGTGGTAGTGGGAACACCCCTTTGGAAAACGAAATCTTTATGAGCCTGCCATGCAGCCGAGGTTCACCTTGTTTAACAAAAAAGCTGTCCTGCATCCTCCTAGCTGTAAGGGCTGCGAAGAAACAGGATCGTAAAGTTCAAGGAGGTGTCCAACGAGAGCCTCGCTTTTAAGAGGATAGTTACTCCCGCATCACTGCCGCTCATGTGTGGTTGTACGTGCGTAAGGGAGCTGCTAACGAGACCACCACCCGGGGGCCGAGACAACGAGAAAACGAGAATACTAACCAGCGTCCGAGAAAGGAAAACCACAACCCAGGGGCCGAGAAAACGAGAAAACGAAGCAGGGTCCGAGAAAACTGGACCACGACCCAGGCGCCGAGAAAACGAGAAAACAAGAACGCGAACCAGGGTCCAAGAAAACGAGACCGCGACCCAGGAGCCGAAAACACGAGAAAACCAGAAAACGAACCAGGGGCCGAGAAAATGAGAAAACGATAAAAGGAATCAGGGCCCGAGAAAACGAGATCACGAACCAGGGGCCGAGAAAACAAGAAAGCAAGAAAACGAACCAGGGGTCGACGTTATTCTCCAATTCGTTCTCTAGCGCTGCGGCGCGCACCTGTCGTCAAGGATTCCGCCATTTTGCCAGAGCCCCCGAAGGGAGGGGGGGAGGAGGTAGCTTCGGAAGCCCCCCCCTTTGCACAGGAGGGGGGGTAGTTTAAAGCCGCCCCCCCTGCGTCCAGACCAAAAAAGGAAGGAGGGGTGGGCGTAGCTTCTGAAGCCCCCCCCCCTTTGAAAGGGAAGCCCGGGCTCACCTTCTGCTTTGGAAAAAGGAGGGAAGGGGGGGGGATAGCTTCGAAGCCCCCCCCCACCTTTAGCCAGGGCCCCCCTAGCTTAGAAACCCTTCGGACGGGAAGGGGGGGGACCCCCCCTCCTGGGGGGTAGCTACCGAAACTACCCCCCCAGGGGGTAGCTTCGGAAGCTCCCCCCCCTTTTCGAAGGAAGGGGGGGGGGTAGCTTGAAGCTGGGTCCCCCTTTCGAGTATTGAGTTCCGTGCGGGCGCGCTCTTACGAAACTCTGATTTGGCTCTGGCCTGAAACTCTGCTTCATCCCTCTTCTCTGGTTTAGCTGAAGCTCTGAATTAGCTCTGGTCTGGAACTCGGATTTAACTCTGATTTAGCTCTGGTCGGGACACAGCCGAATCAGAGTTAAATCAGAGTTCAGACCAGGGTTAAATCAGAGTTCCGAGAAAATCAGAGATGAAACAGAGTTCTGGGCCAGAGTTGAATTAGAGCTAGATCAGAGTATGATTAGAGTTTTGGTGAGTTTATTTTTTGAAGCTAGTTTACCTCCCAACGACACAATCAAGCCCAGTGTCGAAAATACATCGGAACTCGATGGTTACAGCTGCTGCGAATGTGGACAACTACGGTAACACATACGAAGTCTGAAGCGAGGGCCCCATGCTGGAAAGATCTCGCCCTGCCTCCTTGCACCTGCTGTGACAGTTCAAAACGACTGTGCCCAGCGCTATATGCGAGAGCCAGGGCCACAATAAAGAACGAGCTGCCCCCTACCATTGTCACTGCTGCAGGCTTGTGACGCACGTGCGCAGCGCTGATGCGAGAATCACACTTTGAAAACCGCCCGCCCGATATCCTTGTAGCTGTTTGCGATTCCAGAACTCAGGGTCACAAGAGGTGAATAAGTCTCAGGCGAAGCGCGCGGCCTGCCCTACCGAGACGCCTGGTGGCGCGGCGAGGAGCTATTAATAAGGAAGCGGCATGGGGGATGGGGAGGAAAAAGGGAGAAGGACGAGGAGGAAGAGGAACGGATGGGGAGGAGGAGGAGGAGGAGGAGGAGGAGGAGGAGGAGGAGGAGAACGGAGGAGGAGAACGGAGGGGAGGGAGAAAGTCATAGACAGTCAAGGAGAGAGGAGGTAGATAGGAGTCGGAGGCAGGAGGAAGGAACCAGGACGGAGGGGGGGGGCAGGCGGAAGGGAGAGGAGGAGGATGGGGGGGATCCAACGGGTTCCAACAATACCACCTTCTCCTTCCTCTTGTCCAGCTCCTCCTCGAGCACGCGCGCCTTGAGGAGTCTGACCTTGATCCTGAGACTGCGCTCGCTGTTCTGCAGCTGCCTCTTCACTGGCGCGAGCACCTCTGGGGCGACCTTTCTTGCGGCCCCCTCCTCGCTCCTCCTCCTCCTGGCCCTCTCGAGCTCCCTGCTCTACTCCTCCGGCAGCCTCTGAAGAACCTCGCCGGCCTGCTCTTTGCCGACGCTTTCCTCGAGCCCCGTCGGACTCCTGTTCAGCTCCGCCGTCGCCCCCGAAGGACAGCGCCAAGCGGCGCTCGTACTCGGCCTCTAGGCCGTCCGTGTCCTCCGTGAGCGCGCGCTTCAGCAGTCCCCGCACTGGCGCTGCGGCCGCCTCGTCTCCCTGCTGCTCCCGCTCCTCGAAGCGCTGAAGCCTCCGATACTTCGAGATCGCTTTCTTCCTCTCGACTACACGCAAGAGTGACCCTGGGTAAGAGTGGCCCGTGGTGCGCGGCTCCTTGGAGACCGCGGGGGGACCAAACACAAGCGCGCAAGACGCTGATACCGCGTCGCGTTCGGCGATCGGTGGACCACTCTTACGGGTAGTCGATCCTCGTGTAGTACCTCTCGAGGCGCTCGTGCGCCACGTGCGTGTTGTACGGGACTGCCCGCCGGCCTCGGCCTGGCGGCCGCCGCACCCCTGCGGCCGGCGTGGCTGGCGCAGTGCGCGCCGCGCCGCGCCCCATGCGACCGCTTCGCACCGCGGCCTTGGCCTTACACTTCGGCTGCCAAGGATCGGAGCGGGTCGCTCGAGCCAAATCTTCCTCGGCACGGCCTCAGCTCCGCCGTCTCCCCGCAGCTTCCCACCTTCACCTCCTCCTCCTCCGCCTCCTCCTCCTTCCTCCGCCTGCTCCTCCTCCTCCTCCTCCTCCGCCTCCTCCTCCTCCTCTTCCTTCTCCTCCTCCTCCTCCTCCTCCTCCTCCTCCTCCTCCTCCTCCTCCTCCTCCCCCTCCTCCTCCTCCTCCTCCTCCTCCTCTCCTCCTCCTCCTCCTCCTCTCCTCCTCCTCCTCTCTCCTCTCCTCCTCCTCCTCCCTCCTCCTCCTCCTCCTCCTCCTCCCTCCTCCTCCTCCTCCTCCTCCTCCTCCTCCTCCTCCTCCTCCTCCTCCTCTCCTCCTCCTCCTCCTCCCTCCTCCCTCCTCCTCCCTCCTCCTCCTCCTCCTCCTCCTCCTCCTCCTCCTCCTCCTCCTCCTCCTCCTCCTCCTCCTCCTCCTCCTCTCCCTCCCTCCCTCCTCCTCCCTCCCTCCCTCCCTCCCTCCCTCCCTCCTCCCTCCCTCTCCTCCTCCTCCTCCTCCTCCTCCTCCTCCTCCTCCTCCTGCTCCTGCTCCTCCTCCGCCTCCTCTTGCACAGGTACCTCGAACCGCTGAAACAGTGGAGCAAGACATGCAACCAGGTACTGTAATCGCTCAGCACTGTGCTCCGCTCCACCCTCCCCGTATAGAGAATGGGTGATGAAGGAACAGAGGGAGAGGCAACATTACCCGACTAGAAAGAGCTCCAAAAAAGCTGAGGACGAGATTCGTCACAAAATCTCAGTGGGCCCATAACCTCCAACCGTACGCTTGAACATCCAGTGTGAAGGTTGTATGCGATCAGTCTGGAGGTGGCATATTTGACTTTCGAATGTTGGGGCGCTCGGGGATCCCTCTGAAGAAATCTTCGAACAGATCCGAAACGAGATCTTTCGAGGGAGACCCGATTGAGATCTCAAAAGAGATAACTAGAGACAAAGAGAGCTCATCTTGGGTTTTGAAGCAGCGTGAACCCAAAGCCCACCGATCCACTATGCGCATCCATGCCAGCAGGTCTCTTTGAAGCACCTTGGTCCATTCTTGATACCCCTCTCTCGCTATCGTCCCTCCATGTCGTTGTCCCTCCCCACGACCTCTGTCCTTCATCCGCCACCGTGACGCGAGGCGCGAACTGGAGTTTTCTCCAGGTCCTCACGTGTCCTCTGTTCTCTGTACAAGGCGGGCAAATCGAGAGCTCCAGGACGGCCGAACAAATCCCAAGGCGGCCCGAAACAGCCCCAAAAGGTCCCCAACGCTGTCCAGATATGCCCCCAAGACTGTTTCCGAAGGCGCCAGAAAACCCGAGAACACCTGAAAGAGGGCCCAACAGTCCCAAGATGGCCCGGAAGAGCCCAATGTGCCCCCCAAGAAGGCCCCAAACTTGCCCCAACATGGCCCAAAAGGGCCCACCCCTCAGTGTTCCCCAAAATTGTACCCTTAAGTTCTTACCATGGCAACATTTTGACTCGACGCGTCGTCGATATTCATGAATACGGCGTTCGCCTGTTTCCATACCACCGGCGTTCCGTCTGTAAACAAACATGTCGTGCTCGTTCGTGTGAGAACAGCTTTGAGAATGTTCTGATACCTCCGCGCACTACCGCGGCCGCCTGACAACCAGCCAGCCTGCAACACTGGGCATCCCCCCCCGGCCAAAGCACCTCCTAAGACCGCTCGCTGAACTCCGTGACTCCATCCGACGGAGCTATCGTAGACAGCTGTGCCGTCGACTCCTGGCGCGCTCCACTCTCGACCAGCCAGGTCCAAATACGCAGTGCGCTGTAAACGAAATAAAGTGGTGCATGCAGACGCTGGCGGTGTGTGGAGCAACATCGACTTCACATTCGAACAGAAGTTTCAATACCCGCCATCGTGCAAACAACACGCTCGAGCGTATTAGAATACTGCCGAGGTCTGGGAATCAAGCCCTTGCCCTTGCCCAAGACCCGCTGAAGAAGCGCACGAGGACGACATCAAGACGAAGGAGACGCTGCGTTAACGCATGAGGGGCGCGAGAGCATGCGCAAGGTCGATCGCCACAAGATTCGACACAGAAAGCGGTGAAAGGGAATGGCATGCAATCGGTGACGACGAGACCGGCTGAGACGCATGCCCCGGGAAGCAACACGCGTAGATCGAGGCGTACAGCCAACATCGTTGCCTCGACCGGCGCCGTTCAGTGCGCGCGCAGAAAAGGAACCCAGCCGTGCGCGCGCCCCTGCGTGGGCGTGGGGCGCGTAGGGAAGCCCATGCGTGTGGCGGCACCACGCTGGCGGCTCTCTCGCTCCATCGCGCAGGACATGCCTACCTACGAGACCACCCCAACCCAACCCGAAGACCCGAATGTCGGGTTTGGGAGGGGCACGGGCTCCATATGTGTTTTCTCTATGTTCCCCGACCACCCCCACACTGGAAAAGGAGGGCAAATTGAAGTCTTCGGGTTGGGTGGGGGTGGCTACGTAGGTGGTGAGGAAATTCGCTAGGCCGAGCTGGCCAGCCAACTTCTCTGCCTCTTTCCTGCACCTCTCCGCGCGGGCACTGACCGTCCGCAGGCGCGCAGCCAAGTCCTCTCGGGAGAGAAGTGTGGCCCCAGGTCGTGAATCACAAGCACGTTGTCCGACGTCCTGGCCCTGGAATCAGACGAACAAGTGAAGTCAGAGCCTGTCCATGTCGTCGGCGTCTGTTGTAGCTGGCGCCCTGCGATGGCCTCTTGGCGACAAGGTAGAGCTCATGAATGTGGCGACATCTGAGCGCTTGGCATAATCCATGGGCGCGATGTCCCTGGTGGGTAGGCGTAGGACGTCACTCCTCTGGACCTCCCAGGAACTCACAAGAGCGGCGACAGTAGCGCAGTTGGCAGTACCAAGGGACGGCGAGGAGGAAGTGATGCGGCAACGAAAAGGGAGCGAAAAGGCAGCAGAGGAAGCGGAGGCATCGAAGAAGCGGGTGAGGACGCGAGAGGAGAAGAGGAGGGAACACCAGCAGTGCTCTATTCATAGGAGGGCTAGGACAAGGCATTGGAACCAATTGGGGAATCAATGAGTTTTGCTTCCGAGGCTCCTTGGCTTCAGATTGGTTCGGGAAAGCTTCAGAAAGGTCCATGGCGCTCCCAAGACGGCCCAAACAGTCCCAAAAGAGCCCTCAAACGGGGCGATTCGGATTCAGGACGTTCTCGTGTTTTGTTCGTTGGATTTGCTTTCTTGTTTGGTGGTGTGGTGCGTGGCGTATTGTTCTGCACATCGTTTCGTATACCCGCGCACTTGAAAGCAGATTGCGAATGTCTTACGAGAAGAATCAGCGTGTAACGCGCCCAAAGACATTAGGTTGTAAACCAGTACGACAAGATTCTAGTTGCAATGCGCACACTACGTAAGCCCCCACAATCATAATCCCATTGCACAGCACCTCGGAAGGATTGCCTGTATACTCTGCACCATGAAAACAATTGTCTAGATCGTCCAACAAGGAATTTGATTACAAAGCCGCATACTGAGGGGTTTTGCTTGTAATACACACAACAGGAATCAGTGTGCCAATCCACCACCAAATGAATCCGATTGCAAAGCCAGGCAAAACATGATTTGTTGTGCAAGCCGCGCAGTCAGACGCAACATGTAAATAGATCACTCAAAAGATCCTATTACTCAGCCCTGCAACACACTTTCCGTTTGTAATCCAAGCTTAACGATCACAGTGTGAATTGCCCACACAAAGCTGTCTTTTGAACGGGAGCCGGGACAGTTCGGGAGGACGCCAACACAAAAAAACGGGACATGCTTTTCCCCAAACCTCCTGTGTTGGATTCTCGCTTTGAACAGAGCACTACGGTATCCACTCCTTCCCCTTCTCCTTCTCCCTGCCCCTCCTGCCTCCTCCTTCGCTGCTTCATGGGTGGCTGCGAACTGCGCAAGTGTCACCAAATTCGCGGGCGCTTGGGAAGCACAGCGGAGTAGGGGAGTGCGCGCACCCAGCCGAGACTTCGTGGCTCCCAGGGTGGCTGCGAACTGCGCAAATGTCGCCACTTTCGTCGGCTCCCGGGAGGCACGGCGGAATAGGGTAGTACGCGCATCCAGCTCAAATCTTGTATCTCCCTGGGTGGCTGCGAACTGCGCAAGTGTCGCCACGTTCGTGGGCAGCCAAGACCTCGCAGCTCCCTGGGGGGCGAGTGTCGCCACTTTCATGGGCAGTCAAGACCTCGCAGCTCCCTGGGGGTTTGCGAACTGGGTGACTGTCGCAACTTCCGCGGGCTCACGGGAGGCACGGCGGAGTGGGGGAGTACGCACATCACAGAGAACTGCGAACTGCGCAAGTGTCTCCACTTTCGTGGGCTCCTAGGGGTCCAGGTAAAACAAATGCAAGAGCAGGAACATAGATATGTAGGTATACATCAAAGAGAGAAAGAGAGATAGAGAGAGAGCGAAAGAAAGAGGGAGAGAGACAGACAGAGAGAGAGAGATAGAGAGAGAGAGAGAACAACAACAAAAAAAAAGACAAGAGAGAGAGAGAGAGAGAAAGAGCGAGAGAGAGGGGGGGAGAGAGCGATCACTCTTCCCTTCCTCCTCTGCGCGTGTACGTGGAGGGTGTGAAGGTAACCGCTGCTCCCTCCCGTTGCCCACTCTGTGTTGCGCGCGTGCGTGTGTGGGGGAATTGAAAGAGAGAGAGAGAGAGAGAGAGAGCGCGAGAGAGAGAGAGAGAAAATAAAGAGAGAGAGAGAGAGAACAATCACTACCTCCGCCATTTCCCCCCGTCCCTTTCGGGCGTGCAGAGTGCGAGAGGGCAGCCGCTACCCCCTTTCCCTCTTCTGGGAGGGGGAAGTGGCTGTTCTTTTACACTCCCACACGCAACACTAAGGGGACGTGGGAAGGGGCTCGCAGTAGCCCTCTCGCGCTCCACGCGCCCAACATGGATGGGGGGAAATGGCCGTGCGAAGGCAATGCTCTTTGTGTGTGTGAGAGTGTGTGTGTGTGTGTGTGAGTGTGTGTGGTGAGTGTGAGTGTGAGTGTGAGTGTGTGTGGTGAGTGTGAGTGTGAGTGTGAGTGTGAGTGTGAGTGTGAGTGTGAGTGTGAGTGTGAGTGTGAGTGTGAGTGTGAGTGTGAGTGTGAGTGTGAGTGTGAGTGTGAGTGTGTGTGTGCGTGTGTGTGTGCGTGTATGTGTGCGTGTGCGTGTGTGCGTGTGCGTGTGCGTGTGCGTGTGCGTGTGCGTGTGCGTGCGTGCGTGTGCGTGCGTGCGCGTGCGCGTGCGCGTGCGCGTGCGCGTGCGCGTGCGCGTGCGCGTGCGCGTGCGCGTGCGCGTGCGCGTGCGCGTGCGCGTGCGCGTGCGCGTGCGCGTGCGCGTGCGCGTGCGCGTGCGCGTGCGCGCGTGCGTGCGCGTGCGCGTGCGCGTGCGCGTGCGCGTGCGCGTGCGCGTGCGCGTGCGCGTGCGCGTGCGCGTGCGCGTGCGCGTGCGCGCGCGTGCGCGTGCGCGTGCGCGTGCGCGTGCGCGTGCGCGTGCGCGTGCGCGTGCGCGTGCGCGTGCGCGTGCGTGCGCGTGCGCGTGCGCGTGCGCGCGCGCGCGCGCGCGCGCGCGCGTGTGGGTGTGTGTGTGTGTGTGTGTGTGTGTGTGTGTGTGTGTGTGTGTGTGTGTGTGTGTGTGTGTGTGTGTGTGTGTGTGTGTGTGTGTGTGTGTGTCTCTCTCTCTCTCTCTCTGCCTCTCTCTCTCTCTCTCACACACACGCGCAACACAGAGTGGACAACGGGAGGGGACTAGCGGTCACCCTCACACTCTCTCTCTCTCTCCCTCTTGCTTCTTTTTTCTATCTTTTTCTCTGTACATTTCCCAATGAGACTTGCCTGCAAGATTCCTACTTGGTTAAGGTTTGGTACCTCGGGTGGCTACTTTGCCCGTTCCTCGGAATTTCCCGGGGTTCCTCGGGTTCCCCAGGTTCCTTGGTTTCCTCCGGTTCCTCGGGTTCCCTGGGTTCCTCGGGTTCCCCAGCTTCCCTAGGTTCCTCAGGTTCCCCCAGTTCCCCAGGCTCCCCGGATTCATCGGTTCCCCGGATTCCTCGGATTCCTCGGGTTCCTGAGGTTCCCCGGGCAATGCAAGCAAAGCAATGCCAAGCAATGCCAAGCAATGCCAAGCAATGCCAAGCAATGACAAGCATTGCCAAGCAATGCCAAGCAATGTCAAGCAATGCCAAATGCCAAGCACTGCGTCCATGCAATAGGAAGCTTTCCCCTAATTGGAGTCGCGCTGGGTTCATTTGTTGTTTTTGTTCTCACTCTCTCTCTCTCTCTCTCTCTCTCTCTCCTAGAGAAAACCAGAAAAGATCCAAAGAAATACATCATGATCGATGGGGGCGAGAGATCGGCACAGACAAATATTAACAAAAGAGTGAGAGACAGAGAAACAGAGAGATAGAGAGAGAGAGAGACGGATAACGATAACCCACCAAAAAATCAAAGTAACGACGTGAAACCGAGTCGGCTCAGCCGGCCCCATGATTGCCCGAGAGGCCTTTGAGACGGCCCAGGAGGGCTCCAAGACGGCTCTGGTCCACTTCGGGCCTCTAAAATACCTTCACGAGGGAGAAGAAATGAGGGGGCAAGAGACGGAGGAAGGAGAAAACAGGAGGAAGGAAGAGGACAACGAGGCTGCAGGCAAGGAGGGGTCGCTCAAGAGTATAAACGTACCAGTGTGCGGTCAATGAACTGGAGCGGGTTGTAATTCAAATCAGCTTCCTTCATGCTGCGCTGCTGCGCTGGCACGGAGGCGGGGCTTGCCGCAGGCAACTGGATACCCAGTCACTCGATCGGCCCAAAGTCGCTCGAATAAGTCCTACAGATCAGTCCACCATCCAAGACATCCGTGGTTCTCTGCCCGAGAACGCTCCGGCATCGGCCGAATACCGACACTAGTGCATTTCGGTCTAGCCCAGGGGGGCCCAAGTCTGCACACACACACATACAAATAAACAAACAAACACACACACACACACGCACACACACACACACACACACACGCACACGCACACGCACACGCACACGCACACGCACACGCACACGCACACGCACACGCACACGCACACGCACACGCACACGCACACACGTACGCACACGCACGCACGCACACACACACACACATGCGCGCACGCACATCCTTCTTTGAGCGCCGCGGGCGGGGCAACGAAGCCGCACGGCCGTCTGGTAGGAACGCACGACGGGACTACCGCCGGGCAAAGCTTCAGTGAAAAGAAACAGCGCACTCACACGATGCATTACAGGCCGCACGCCGGCCATAACTAGGACGACCAGGGGCCAGCAAGACGAGGGCAGGGGGCCAAGCAAAGCGAAGAGGCAGACACAAACACACACACACACACACATACACACACACACACACACACACACACACACACACACACACACACACACACACACACACACACACACACACACACACGCGCGCGCGCGGGCGCGCGCACAAAGTAAACACCGCTAGTGGACGTTTATACTGGATGTGTGGAGATCGCCTTGCCTTTGTTTTGATCTCTGGAGCTCTGGAACTCTCGCGCGGATCTCTCTCCAAGATTTCCCGGTGTGCCGGCCAGGCTCATCCGCAGGGGGGCCTCGGAGGCCCGACGTGGGACTCTCCAGAGAGCCCCAGGGGTGCGCAAACTTGTGGCGGAGTCACCATGGTGGACGTTCGCTTCCTCCTAAGGCGCAGGCAGAACGAGGACAAATTCGGACGAGGACGCATCGGGAATCTCTGAGAGCTGGCGGGGCTGGAGGACGTATCGGGCGCTGCGGCCGTTCCAGAGCGCTCCAGCACGCTCTGAGAGCGTTCCGGTCCAGAGCGCTCCAGCACGCTCGGAGAGCGTTCCGGAGCGCTGTGGCGTCCTCGTCCCAGGCCTGCCTGACCTCGGCTCTGGGCTCGCAGACCTTTTGGTCCGCGGCGACCTGGAGCCAAGACGCAGTCGGGGCAGCCGAGGGACGCTGCGCGGCCAAACCGGGCACACCAGGAGCGGGAGAGGCGCGGAGGGTGGAGAGGAAGCCGCGGGCGGCGGAGCACGCTCGGATCGTGAGATTCTTCTGCGCGTGCGTGTGCCGGAGCACAGGCTTGCACGGGCAGCAGGCGGGAGTGGTGAGGCGGCCAACGGACAACTGGAGGCCCAGACATCCATGAAGGGAGTCCTGGAACCTGCAGAGAAAGAAACACACCACCACCACCACCATCACCACCACCAGCACCACCACCACCCCCACCTCCCTCTGAAAGGTACAGGCAGCGGGGGTCTGGGGTGATGGCGGCGCATACTTTCTTGGGGTGCTTTGGCGGGGCATACTGCAGATCAGCCCATCCTGCATCCCCACAGGTGGTCGTGGTGGTACGCTCCTTGTTCTCAATTCTGGGGTGAAGGCTCGCCAAGACCCTTCGCAGCAGAAAGACCAAGAAATGCTGTTGTCCAGCGGTGCCGTCTCGCTGTCGCGTGTGGAAAATCTCGCCGTTTCTCCTTGCTTCAATCGGGTGTCTGGTGCGCGCAGTGCTCGTCGAGCCTAAAGAACCCACGACCGAACCCGCACTGTTGATCGAACTTCAGATGGGCAGTTCGCATGAGGGTGAAGAGGAGGAGGGACGAGAGAGAGAACGAGGAGAGGAGGGCGAGCTGAAGGATGAGGATGCAAAGAAGATCCTAAGGAGAAGGGATGAGGAGGAGATCATAGTGAAATGACGAGCGGGAAGGAGGAGCACAAGAAAGGGCAGGAAGAAGCGAAGGAGAGAGAGAGAGAGGAGTGGGGAGGAGGGGGGGGAGGAGGAAGAGGAGGAAGAGGAGGAGGAGCGCACGTCCATAGGCGAGCCCTGGATTACTGAGCGCCGCATGGCGGATTGAAACATGTTGCGCGTAGCTGCCGAGCGGCTGCGGGGTTTCAGCAAGATCGGCACGAAAAACATTAAAAATACTGAAAGCGAGACTGACTAAGTCATGGGCAAGGGCCACCGTGAGATCGGTGTCTTGGTATTCCTCCTCGGATCCCAGGCCAAGCCAGAGGAAAGGAGGAGCGGACGGAATATGCAGACGGGGCAGCCCGATGAGATGTAGCAGGCGGTGACAAGAGAGGTAGTGGAGGAACGAGTCGGGGCAGCCAAATCGACACAGTAAAGGGTTGAGGATCTTGATTATGTAGCTGGTGTTCCACCCTCTAGCGAGTCTCGAGATGAGACCGACCAAACTTTACGGGGTTGCGATCTGTCATAAACCTGCCAAAGACGCAGCCACCTGGCTTTGATATCGTCCTCGGGCAAGGGGTCCAAATGTGGGAACCAGGAGGAGAAGGAAGAGGAGGAGGAGGAAAATGACGAGGATGAGGAGGAGGAGGGGTAGGAGGACGTGGAGGGGAAGGAGGGGAGAGGGAGAAGGACATGGAATAGGCAAAATGTGCTATGGCACTCTGTCAATCATGGCTTGTCAGCTTTGCATTTGCACTTCGAGGAACATCCGCAGTGCGAGAGCAAAGAGTAGGGAGATGACTACGAAGAAAAACTGGATAACATATCACACCAACGTGCTTCACCGCTACCCTCCGTCCCCGATCCTCTACCTCCGTCCCTGTTTCTTATAAATAACTCTTCCCCGTCACACCCCCAGACGTGTCGGAAGGGCGGGCCCGGCACTTCGCCCGAAACTCCCCCGTCATTGTGTGACCCTGAAGCTTGAACTTTGCAAACAGTTCCAGGGATGGAGGGCGGGCCGTTTCAAACATGGGGTTATCGCCTCAGCGCCGCGCACGTCCGTCTTGAAAGCTTGCAGCAGCTTCACGGATGGAGGGCGGGTCGATCTCAAACCGTGGTGTCCGCCGTGGCGCCGCGCACATGCGTCTTGAAAGCTTGCAACGGCTTCAAGGATGGAGGGCCGCTCCTGTACAAAACGTGGCTTTCGCCAGAGCCCCTCGTACATCAACAGTTTTCAACGGCTTCAAACATGCAGAACTATTCAGTTTCAAAATGTGGCTATCGCCCTTCCGCCGCGCACATTCGTCTTCAGAGTTTGCAGCAATTCAAAGGATCGGCATTCTGGCACGTTTTGCGATTGTCCGGACGCAGCAGCCACTTTGACTCGCGCCGCTCAGGTCCCAGGAATTGTGTTTCGACACGCTTGATGATTGCCAGGACGCAACAGTCACGTTGATTCGCGGCGCTGACGTCTCAGGAGTGGTGCTTTGGCACGATTGAAGATTCTCAAACGGTGATCTTCCAATGGGACACTTCCGCAATGAAAACAAATGCCGTAAGGGACCTATGACGAGGGAACTTGGAAAGAGGGTGTCTTGCAACATCGTTGATGCGCCTTGGGTTGACACTGGTCTTCCTCCTCCTCCTCGCCCCCTCCCCTCCAGTTCCATCTCCAGACTTTCCCCCCGCGCCCCGTCCTGCTGGGACTTGCTGCCCCAGCCGTCCTGGGTGGACTTGCTGCTACTACCCCAGGTGGAGTAGGAGGCGTTGAGCCCCGCCGCGCGCAGGCGAGCCTGGCCCCAGTCTCGCCTTCCGCTCGCCCTCCTCACCTTGGAGCCCCTCCGTCCTCCTCTTCCTCCCTCCTCCCTCTGCAGCATCGGCTTGAGGGTCGCCCGTACAGGCCTCGGAAAAATAGCGACAACTCATGCCATACTCACCTGTGAATGCCCACCACCTCCTCCCCCCAATGATCAAAGCTGGCGGTGGTTCTGATGAGTTGTACTTTGACGGCAATTTTCCCAGCGCGTGCCAACCTTCAACTTGCGGAGGGGAAATGTCCATTGATTGTTCCCTCTGCGGTAGCACATTGCTCGACTGGCGCAGCTTCCGAGTCGCGTCTGGCGCCGCAACGGGGTACTTAGGTGGCACCGCGTCGTCGTCACGATTGCAATGTTTGTGTGTCGCGGTTGTGTGTGTGTGTTATGTAGATCACCTTGGCAAAGCTGGTCAAAGTGCAGAGCGGGCCCAATTCTGACCGGTATTCTTGTAATTGCGAGATTTAGAAAGTGCTCGCGGGCACCTCTCAGTCATCTTCGAGTTTCAAATGGTGTTCAAGATTAATTCGTATGGTTCCTTGCTTCACTCTTCTCGTTGACAAGAGTGTTAGGCAATACGGATTTATGCTGTGTCGCACCATCTTCATCTTCGATGCGCTTCGGCACTCAAGGCTTTGTGTTCCACGGCGACCTTTGCATTGTATTTTCCACCGTCGCTCAAGGATGTTGGATGTCCTGATTTTCCTGATCAGCTTGATCGACACCCGTCTCAAGGGGAAAGAACGAACAGCAAAGACACGGCCCTGGCACAATTCGACCCCCCATCGGGCGTAATTACTTCAGTCATGTGGATACGAGAAAAACAGAAATGTGCAATGCTGTTATGTGGGGTTAAAGAGGCTGAACTTTTGGGATAGTACGGCGGCTTACTTCGACAAGCGGCACACGCCTCGTTGTCTCATATCGTCATGATTGCTTTCGGCTCATGGCTTCTGTTTCGCCATTAACTGCATGGAAGGAGTGAACGTCATGTCATGATCACTGCATGGTGGCGAGACTATGCTTGGCATCCTCGTGTTCCATAATCTTCTCGGCACTGGCGCGGGCTCCGCTCTTCCTTGAGGTCGGGTTGCTTTTCGTCGTGATCGCGTTACTCTTGGAGGTGACAGGCGGCACTGCACTATATCACTAACGAGTTTGTCGAATAGCTCGATGCTCGATACTCCGTCACTCCTCCCTCCTACTCCTCCTCCTGCTCATCCTCTTCCTTTCTCCTCCCTCCCTTTTCCTCCCCTCTCCTCCCGTCTCCTTCCTAGCTAGTCGTGGAAAATACCTACTCCTCCTGCTCCAACTTAGGGGAAGCACTTCAGGGGAGGCACCATACGCCTCCCCGCCAAGTTTACGTCATGCGCTGCATGTGCGCATCTGCTTTCGCTCACCCGAAACGTACCCAACCCCTGCTCCACGCGGGGCGAATATTTGTATGAACGCTCCATACACAAGGGCACATCAACAGATATGTACGCTCTGGAGCCCACAAACATTGCGACATCTGCACCAGTTCGCAGCCACTGACGGGGCCGCGCTGTCTCGCCTTCATCCGCGCTGTCCTGCACCCTCGCCGTGCCTCCCAGGAGCTCAGGAAAGTGGTGACAATTCCCCCCAATACGCACCTCACGACGGAGCCGCGAGGCCTCACAGTGATCCGCGCTGCCCTCACCTCCGCCGCACCCCCCAGGAGCCCACGAAAGTGGCAGCAACTGCGCAGCTCGCAGCCCCCGACGGAGCCGAGAGGACTCAAGGTGATCCCCGCTGCCCTCACCCCCGCCGTGCCCCAAAAGAGCCCACGGAAGTGGCGACATTTCCGCAGCACGCAACCCCCGATGGAGCCGCGAGGTCTCAACTTATCTCCGCTGCCCTGCGCTCCGCCGCACCTCACTGGAGCTCACGAGAGTGGCGACAGTTGCGCCAGCTCGCAGCCCCCGACGGGGCCGCGAGGTCTCAAAGTGATCCCCGCTGTCCTGCACTCCGCCGTGCCCCCCAGGAGCCCACGAAAGTGACGACAGTCACGCAGCTCGCAGCCCCCGACGGAGCCGCGAGGTCTCAAGGTGATCCGCGCTGCCTCGCACTCCGCCGTGCCTCCCAGGAGCCCACGAAAGGGGCGAGCTCGTGCGTTGTTCGCAGCCCCGACGGAGCCCGGAGGTCTCAAAGTGATCCCCTGGCGACTCTGAATTCGGTGTGGTTCCTGCGACTTCAGTGAGATGCTGACGTACCGCTTGGAAGAAGAATGTGCTTTCATTCTCGCGTGTAAATGGGCCCTGGGACACACACATAGATAGACACAAGCCCTAGGATTCCCTATATTTTCCCATATCTTCTGGGTTTTCGTCTTCCCCCCATTTATTTTCTTGGAAGTCGACATTTACTTCTCCCCTCCGCCCGAGCCAGAACAGACGGTCGAAGGAAAGAACTGTTGCATCAACAACGCTCCAACGACCAAGAACCGAATACCCCCCCTCCTCCAGCCCCCGGCCTTGATATCTGAATGCGTTGCGATCGAGATCTTGGGTTCCATTTTTTTCTGGCCGCTCATCTCCGGGACCAACTGCTCAATATTAAGGCCGGGGGGCTGCGGGGGGGGGTTCGAAGTGGTCCCGCAACTTTTGATGCAATTTTTTTTCCTTCAACGGGATGGGTGCCAGCGCCGGGCTCTGCCAACGCACTGTCAGATCGAGGGTCGGATTTCTGCCTGCATGGCTCTCGTGGGCGCCCTCCACCGTTAACTTTCTGCGGTCGAGCCGAGCGCAAACACAAAACGCTGCCAGCTCACCTTCACGCCCAGCTCGGGCATTTTCTCTGCTTGGCTCGAGTGGCATTTTCTCTGGGTGGCTCGGCGGGCTTTCCGCAAGCGGGCCGAGTCCGCTGCCGATTCTGGGCACCAAGTTTTGACGTCGACAGATCGGGGATGGACAGAACCCCCTTCAGCAAAACGTGGTTTAGTGAAAACGACCTCGGGCCCACACCTGGCGGGCGCAAGCCTAGAAAATGACGACCGCGGCGCCCTCTCGAGAACCGAAAACGGACAATTCACTAATCGAAGTGTCGGGGTGGGGGTTCTGCCCATCCCCGGACAGACGCGACACGCAGGCGCCCACGGCACCAAGGCTCTGCCAAGGCCTTGGGTGCCGCCGCCGGCTCGGATCACTGAATGGAGCATCGTGGCATTCTCTCCGGGTGGCTCGGCAGGCTTTCCGCAAGCGGGCCGAGTCCGCTGCCGCTTCCGGGCACCAAGTTGTGGTGCCGACAGAAACGACACGCACGCGCCCACGGCACCAGGCTCTGCCAGTGCCTTGGGTGCCGCCGCCGCCGCATCGGACCACGGAACGGAACCTCGTGGACGGGCACTGGCGGTCGAGCCACTGGCGCTTGCGCCTCGCCTGGAGCTACAGTGGAGGCCAGTCCACAAGAATCCTTCTACAAGAGACCCAACCCTGAGACCCCAGGACGTCCACTCATGTTTGGTGTGGGAACGTCGCGTTGTCAATGGAAAAACCAGCGAAACCCAAGAAACCCAGGGCACCCTGGAGGCAAGCAAGGTGTCTCTGGCATGGGTCTCCACAGTCAGGGTGCGAGCGCAGAAAAATCACCATCATCACAATCACACGCACCATTGCAATCAGCAGTCAACGATCACAATCAACAATCAGCCATACCATCACAGTGGTGGTGGCACTTACTTGGCCGCGATGGCGGTGGTGACGCAATCACTGGCGTGTCGTCTGACACCCGAGGCTGCGTGATGCACTGCTACTGCTGCGTGCGGCCTGTTTGTGATGCCCCGCTCGTCGACAGCGTCGTCGCCATGCGCCACCACCACCACCACCACCACAATCGCCAACTCGCGAGCGCATCGTCGCCACCGTCATCGCGCATCGTCATCGCGCATCGTCGCCAACTCGCGAGTACATCACCAGCACCGTCACAATCACACCAATCGCAGTTGTCATCAGTTGATTCTTCACCCGACAAACCTCCTTATCGCCCGAAGGGTGGTCGTGTAGGTAGTATGCCATTGATCTGTACGAGTGCGAGCAGCTGCACGAATGGTACCAGCACGACGGGAACCGTCAGCACCATTGTGACATGCACGACTGGGTATAGCAGCACGCTGGTGAGCGGCACGTGTAAAAGAAGCAGCACCAGTGTTACCTTACGCTATTGACTGGGACTAGCAGTACGGCGGTGATCAGTGCGAGCGTGAGCAGCAACACGAATGTTACCACCACGACGGGAACCAAAGCAACACGACTGTGCCCAGCACGACTGTGATTAGCAGTACGTCGGTGGACAGTACGAGCGCTACCAGCAGCAGGAGAGTTACCACCAAGATTAAGACTAGCAGTACGCTGGTGAGTAACACGAGCGAATGCAACAACGCGAATGTAACCAACACAACGGGGCCCAACCAAATCTCGGCTAGAGAATGCACCGTGACCGTTGTGACCAGCACGGCTGGGATTAACGGCACGTCGATGAGCATCACGAGTGCGAGCAGCAACCACGACTGGGACTGGCAGTACGCCAGAGAACAATATCAGTGCGAGAAGCAAGACGAAAACGAACGTTACCAACACGCCTGGGACTAGCAGTACCTCGGTAGGAGTACGTGCGCGAGCAACAGTCTATTTTACCAGCACGGCTATGACTAGCAGATTTTCGGTAGTCAGTACGAATACGAGCGACAGCACGAGTGCTACAAACACGACTGGGACTAGCAGTTCTTGGGTGTGCAGTACGCGTGCGAGCAATAGCCCGAATGCAACCAACAAGACTGGGACTGACAGTGCGCCGGCCCGGGCCAGCAGGACGCCAGTCAACGGAAGCACGAAAAACACCAGAAGGACTGGACGTCTCAATACGTCGTTGAACACTGCGGTTTTGCGAACAGCAACACGAGTGTTACAAGCACGATTGGGACTAGCAGTACGCCAGAGAGTAGTACGAGGGCGAATGACAACACGAAAGCTAGAAGCAAGATTGGGACTCGAGTACGTTGGTGTTCAGCACGAGTGTGAGCAACAACCTGAGAGCTACCAACACGACGGGAACCAACAACATCTTGGCTACCAGGTGTACCGTGACCGTTGTGACCAGCAAGGCTAGGATTCGTGGTACGCCCGTGAGCAGTATGGGTGCGAGCAGCAGCCCGAATTCCACGAACACGACGGGAACCAACAACATCTCGGCTGCCAGGTGTACCGTGACCGTTGTGACCAGCACGACTGGGCCAACAGCACGTTGATGAGCATTCACCGTGCGAGCAACAACACGGATGCTACCAAGTACGTCGGGTGGGGCTAGCAGTACGTCGGTGAGCAGTGAGAGTGAGAACAACAACACGAGTGACACAAGCGCGACCAGGCCTCAGAAAGTCGTCGAGCAGTACGGCTGCGAGCAACAGTACGAGGTATCTCAGCACGGCTTGGAGTAGCAGTACTTCGGCGATCAATACGACATGTGAGCCGCAATACGAGGTTTTCCAGAACCATTGTGACTAACAGTAAGTCGGTGAGCAGTACGAGTGCGAGTGGCACCACGAATGCTACAAGCACGACTGGGACTAGCAGTACGTTAGTATGTAACACGAGGGCGAATAGCAGCCCGAGTACTACCACCACGACTGGGACTTGCAGCACGTCGGCGAGTAATATGCGTGCGAGCAGCAGCACGAGTGTGGACTTGCAGGGTGAGGACTCTGTGTCCCCTTCGGCGGGGGACTTCAGACCACGCGGGTGGGGAGGGGGGGGGAGGGGAAGCCATCTCCCTTCCAAAAATCCCCCGAAACGCCCCTGGCGTAGCAAGTGCGGCGCCGAGTGGGGGGAGGGAAGGGGGGGCGCGGCCCGCACGTCGACCCTCCCACCACGGGGGAAGGTGCGAGATTCCTGTGCGCAGGACGGGGTGACGGAGGGACACCACAGGTTCCTCCAACCTTCAAGGTCTGGGCAGCAGATGCCTGGCCGAAGCTTGCACGGAAGCTCTATACGTCTCCCCGCCAATGTTGCGTCACAGGCTCCGTGATATGTGAAATATGATGAAATATTTGTGACCTCATAGGCTTCAGGGTTTCCTCCTCCTCGTCCCTCTTCCTCCCTCCTCCTCCTCCTCCTCCTCCCTCCCTCCCTCCCTCCCTCCCCTCCTCCTCCTGCTCCTCCTGCTCCTCCTCCTCCTCCTCCTCCTCCTCCTCCTCCTCCACGTCCTCCTTCTTCCACCTCATCCATCCTCCTTCTCCTCCTTCTCCGCCTCCTTCCTCCTGATGCTCAACATCCTCATTCTTGACCTCGCTTCGCATCATTGAGCGCGGGTCGGGAGACCGTGGTTCCCCTCCCCCGCTGGCCAGCAGAGGGGCCCGCATAAACGCTGCGCCTCGCCATGCACGCACGCCAAGGACGAACCCTCCTGCTGCGGCTCCTCCTGCTGCTCTTCTTGGCGGCGAGCGCGGGGGGGCAAGTGAGAAGGGGCGGGCCTTCTCAGAAGGCTCGGAAGTCTCCCAGCCTTCTGAAAAGTTGTCTTGAGCTTTCCCCGACGACACAGAAAACTTCTCAGAACGCGCGAGGGCTTCTGAGAAGTCCAGCCGTCTTCTGAGAAGGCCTTCGCCTTCTCATTTCCCCCCTCGCTCGCCGCCGATCTTCCTCTGGAGGCCGCTCTGAATGAGGCCATAGCAAATTAATCTTGCCATCGCTCGGACGTCCATTCCCCGTGCATGTTCGATGTCGTGCGTTCATTTCTCGAGGATGATCCAGGACGCTCATCGATGGTCCTCGCCGACGAGAAATGCACACGCCCGAGCGATGCCCAGTAATGGGGTAGGAAGATCGCGCCGCATCGGCGATGCATAGGCGACGTCGGGATGGAGAAAATCGGGCTTCAAATCGCGCCGCATCGCGGATTCGTCGGTGATGCGGCGCGGTCCTCCGACCCCACCTACTCCGGTTCCATTTGGGCGGCCTGAATCCTCCTCCTCCTCCTCCTCATCCTCCTCATCCTCCTCTTCTTCCAGCTTATCATTGTCCCAAGCAGTGCCATGTGTGGCCGCACTGAGGGGGGGTTTGATTGGTCATTCCGCTACGCGGGAGGCTAGGAATGGATGGAGCGGGAAAAATTACAGTAGGGGCCCGACCATAAGAAACTTCCCACAAGAAGCCCAACCCTGAGACCCCAGGGTGTCCATCGATTTTTGGTGTGGGAGCGCAACGCTTTTCATGTCAAAACCATCGAAACCCAAGAAACCCAGGGCATCCTGGATGCAAGCAGGGTGCTTTTGGCATGGGCGCCCACTGTAGGCGAACCAGCTCGGAATTAGATGACCAAGCGCCCCAAGCGAAGAGAACGACCACCCGCCCCGCAAAGCACGAATACGCCGCTGACCGCCGCCAGACAGTCGAAATCGGACAAGTCCTCCAATAATAACTGCGACTGTAGCACCAGCTTTAGGTCGGGCATGTCCCCCTACAGGCGGATTTTGGATGACAAATTTAGAATATTCGAACAATACTCAAAATATATTCGAAAATAACCCCAACCAAAAATCCCATACTATGTTTCGACTATTTTTGTTGTATTCCCCCTGTAGAGGGACACGCCCGAATTAGCACCAGCTCGCTCCAGCTGTGCCAGCCCCGCCACATGAGGCGGGTACGAAACACGCAAAAGGACACGATTCAAAACATTGGTCTGTGGTTGGAGCCAAAAGATGTCGAAGACTGTGACTCACCACCTTCTCCTGAGAAAGAGGGGGAATACGACCACCCAGGACCCCCCCTCAAACCACCAAGAATTCATGAAAAGCACGAAAAATCGCCTCGATCTGAAATATTCGGAGATGCTCCCCCCTCCTGGGTCCTCGACCATCAGGAGGCATTGGCGACCCCCCTAGTGGTGAACCTCCTAGGCACGGCCTGCGTCGTCGGCACGCACGACGTTCGGGGTGCACGGGAGGGGGGCACAGCCCGCTGGGTAAAAAAGTGCTGACCGCGGGGGTCGAGGAACACGTGGCTGGGTTCCCGTTCGGCCGCGCGGGCCCGGGACAATGCTAGGTGCAAGGCCATTGCCGGAGTCTCTGATGCATCTCGTACCACTTCGGATAGGAGAAAGGCCACATGGGGCCGCACGGGGAAGTGGCACTCCGCCCAACATTTCCTGAGAGAAGGCGTCTGATCGCCTTCCTGGGTGATCAGAAATTTTGCCATGCCAACAGAAAATGGCGATTTCGGATTTCGCTTGGGTGGCGAACACGTCCGCCCTCCAAATGGTTCAGGACGTGCCGCACAGCGACGCTCAGAATCTGTGTCCTGGTCATGTCCGTGTTCTGGTCCGCTGCGACGAATGCTCCGCCCCCGCTCTCAGAAGAACTGTCCGTGACTTCGCCACCGGGTTTGTCCATGACGTCTGCCATCCGTGACTTCCTCGCACAAGGTGTCTGGTTGCGTTTCATGCCGCCTGGGAGTGGCGATTCCGCTCAGGATTCCCTCGCAACCTGAAAAAACAAATCGCTTGCCACGCGGCCCTCGTAGAGTGCCGAGAACAATTTTCTAATCTAGGAGATGGTAGTGCAGAAGCGATAGCGAATTAACTCGAGATGCTCGTTTTCACAGCGCCTCCTGCAGCAGGATGCGACCACTTCTCGAGGAAAGTGCCAAGCGGCAGATTTTGTCGTAGCCCCTCCTTCCGAAACGCCCAGCTTCGTCCCCACCCTTCCTCTTGCCCCTCCTCCCCCCCCTCCCCCATTTCCTCCTCCTCCTCCTCCTCCTACAACTGCCCTCCCTCCCTCTCCTCCATTCCTCCTTCACTCAGGCCCCCATACCTCTACCCTTCCTCCCCCTCCTCGGTATCCTCCTCCTCAACCTCCTTCTCCACCTCTCCCACCTCCCCCCCCTCCTCCTCCTCCTCCTCCTCCTCCTCCTCATCCTCCTCCTCCTCCTCCTCCTCCTCCTCCTCCTCCTCCTCCTCTTCCTCCTCCACTGTGCCGTCAGCACGCGCACAGCCTGTCCCGTCCCCTCCCGGGGGCTCGCTCTCCAGGAGTTGGCCGTCCAGCGGGGCGAGGGGCGGGCCGAGGACGAGCCAGTGCGCCCCGCGCCGTCCGGGCAGTTTTTGATTGCCCTCGCTCGCGGCGGCAGGGGGAGGGGAGCGGATAATGATGATGATGAAAGATGATGATGATGATGATGATGATGATGATGATGATGATGATGATGATGATGATGATGATGATGATGATGCTGATGATGATGATGATGATGATGATGATGATGATGATGATGATGGATGATGATGATGATGATGATGATGATGATGGTGATGATGATGATGATGATGCTGCTGATGCTGATGATAATGATGATGCTGGTATTGATGATGATGATGCTGATGATGATAATGATGATGATGATGATGCTAATGATGATGATGATGATGATGTTGATGATGAGGTTGATGATGAGGTTGATGATGATGATGATGCTGATGCTGATGATGATGATGGTGATGTTCATGATGATCATGATGATGACGATGATGATGGCAATGACGATGCTGATGAGTGGAATCATGATAATGCTGATGGCGATGACGATGATGCTGATGATGATGTTATATGATGTTGGCGGTGATGGTGCTGATGGTTATGGTGATGGTGGAGATGATGATGATGGCACTGATGATGATGGTACTGATGATGATGACGATGGTGAGGAGGATGAGGATGCGGATGATGGTGATGTTCATGATGATTATGATGACAATGTCAATGATGGTGCTGATGGGTGGGGTAATGATGATGATGATGGCGGTGACGATGATGCTGATGATGATGATGATGATAGTGATGATGATGGTGATGATGATGATGGTGGTACTGATGATAATGGTACTGATGATGATGGTGATGTTCATGATGACGAGGTTGATGATGGTGATGATCATGATGGTGATAGTCATGATGATGCTGATTATGATCATGCTGATGATGATGACGATGGCAATGATGATGCTGATGCGTGGGATAATGGTGATCATGGCGATGGATATGATGCTGCTGATGATGATGATGGTGGTGGTGATGATCGTGATGATGTTGCTGATGGTACTGATAATGATAATGATGATGATGCTGTTCATGATGATGATGACGATGGCAATGATGATGCTGATGTGTGGGATAAGGATGATGATGGCGATGACGATGATGCTGGTGGTGATGATGATAATGATGGTGGTGGTGATGATGATGGTGGTGATGGTGATGATGAAGATGGTACTGGTGATGCTGGTGATGACGATGAGGTTGATGATGATGGTGATGGTGATGTTAATGATGATGATGATGATGACGATGGCAATAATGATGAATGAGATAATGATGATGACGGCGATGACAATGATGCTGATGATGATGGTGGTGATGATGGTGATGGTGGTGGTCAAGGTGATATTGATGATGACGATGATGATAGTACTGATGATGATGGTGATGGTGATGATGATGTTGATCATGATGATGATGATGATGATGATGATGATGAGGATGATGATCATGATGAGGATGATGGTGATGATGATCATGATAATGTCACCCGGGCGACTCCAACGTAGGATCCATGGGGGACCATTCGGAAGGAAAGAATTTCCGGGGCGCAGAACCCAGGGGGTCCAGTTTCCTCGGAGGAAAAAATTACATCCCTGGCGAGGGGTGCGAACACGGATGCTACCCCTGCCTGAAATTCCGGAAGAGGAATGAGCTCTCAGCCGCGGGGGTGCTGGCGCGCGGGGTCCCACCCCCCCAGCGCAACCAGAGAGGAAAGCGCGAGAGCCCGGATTGTAAATGAAATGCAGCGACACTGTTGTACTGGGGAATTGTACTACTACTACTTGCACCCCAGTGTTGCACTGTGATGCGCTAGTTGTTGCACTCGTATACTAATTGTACTGCAGGACGAGGTGCACTCTGGGAGCAGCTGCGCGCTAGCACATAAGATTACATGATAGTACCAGTTGTATTCAAGTACTAGGTGCACCCTAGTCGGACGGGTTCAGGGGTTCATAGTGACAATGCGCGCATGAAAGAAGGAAACAACTCTACGCGCCGCCAGGGGTCCTGGCATTAACGGAACGCCGAGGTGGACCCCCTGCGGAAAGAAGAAATGAAATCTGACCGGGGGGTGGGGGGTTCAGGCATGAGTCGCGGAGGCGATATAATGATGACGATGATGATGACGAGAATGCTAATGCTGATGATGATGATGGTGGTGATGATGATGATGAAAATGATGATGAGGGGGATCATGATGATGATGGCGGTGAAGGTGATGATGCTGAAGATGGTGAGAATAATATCGATGATGGTGCTGCTGCTGATGATGACGATGCTGATGAAGGTGATAATCGTGATGCTGCTGCTGGTGATAATGATGCAAATGATACTGAGCATGGTAATGTGTTTGAACATGGTGATGATGTGGATGGTGCTGATAAGAATAATGAGTTTGGCAGTGATGATGATGAAGGTGCTGCTGATGATGATGATGATGATGGTGCTGATGCTGACGCTGATGGTGGTGGTGATGGCACTGCTGCTGATGATGATGTTGATGGTGACGACGCTGATGATGATGATGACGACAATGGCGATGATGATGATGATGATGATGGTGGTGATGATGGTGATGGTGATGGTGATGATGATTATGATTATGATTATGATTATGATGATGATGATGATGATGATGATGATGATGATGATGATGATGATCAGGAACGCGATGATGACAATGGCGATGATGGTGATGGCAATGATGATGATGATGCTGATGATTATGATGCTGATGAGGTTGATGATGGTGCTGATGCTGGTGATGATGGTGATGGTGATGATGGTGATGATCGTGATGTCCATGTTCTTGCTGCAGATGATAACGATGATGATGATCATCATGCAGATGGTACTAATGGTGATGTGTATGATGGTGGTGATGATGCGGATGATGCTGATAATGATGGTGAGTTTGACAGTGATGACTATGATGATGATGGCGATGTTGGTGATGATGATGATGCTGACGATGATGGCGATGATGATTACAATAATGACGATCGATGATGGCGATGACAGAGATGATGATGATGCAGATGATGGTGATGATGATGATGATGGAGATGGCGCCGGCGATGGTGATGCTGACACTGATGATGGTGAGGGGGAGGAGGATGACCATTATGATGACGATTATGGTGGTATTGATGCTGATGATTATGCTGATGATGAGGTTGATGATGGTGCTGCTGCTGATGATGAGGTTGATGATGGTGTTGATCGTGATGTTCACGATGATGCTGATGATGACGATGACGATGCAGATGATACTCATACTGTTGATGTGCTTGAAGTTGGTGATGATTGAATTAATGATCGTGGTTTTAGCAGTGATGATGGTGATGAAGGCGATGCTGCTGATGATTGATGATGGCGGAGATGATGATGTTGATGATGGTGGTGATGATGATAATGATGCTGATGCTGATGCTGATGGCGATGATGGTGATGATGATGATGGTGGTGATGATCAGCATGACGCTGCTGATGATGATGTTGATGATGATGGTGATGATGGTGGCGATGATGATGCTGATGATGAAGATGCCAATGAAGATGCTGATGATGATAACGATGGTGATGATGATGATGATGATGATGATTATAATGATGATGATGATGATGATGATGTTGACCCTGACTATGATGCTCGTGATGGTATGATGATGATGGTGATGATGATGATGCTGTTGATGGTGATGCTGGTGACGGTGATGCTGATGATCGTGATGATGAGGACGGTGCTGGTGCTGGTGGTGATAATGGTACTGATGGTGATGATGGTGCTGATCCTGATGCTCATGGTGCTGCTGATGATGCTGATGCAGATGGTACTGATAATGGTGGTGTGATTGACGATGGCGATGGTGCGAAATATACTGATGATAAGGGTGACGCTGGCATTGGTGATGATGATGATGCCGATTCTGACGATGCTGATGGTGCTGCTGATGATGATGGTGATGGTGGTGATGGTGTTGATGCTGATGCTGATGATGCTGCTGATTTTGGTGATGGTGAGGATGATGGCGATGACGATGGCGAATCATGCTGATGATCAGGATGCTGATGTTGATGATGCTGATGATGCTGATGATCGTAATGTGTGTGATGCTGCTGATGATGAAGACGATGATGCTGCAGATGATGATACTGATGGTGATGGTGATGATGATGGTGATGGTGGTGATGACGATGATGACGACGATGACGATGACGATGACGATGACGATGACGATGACGATGATGATGATGATGATGATGATGATGATGATGATGATGATGATGATGATGATGATGATGATGATGATGATGATAATGCTGATCGTTTTTCCCATGATAATGGGGAGGCGGGGAGCGGAGCAGGACGAGGGCGGGTTGAGGAGGGGGGTGAGGAGGAAACACGAGGAGAGGGGGAATAGAGGGAGGAGATCCCTGTCACGTTGGCTCCTCCTCCTTCTCCTCCTCCGTCTCCTCCTCCTCCTCTCTTCCCTCTCCGCCCTTCCCACTCCTTCTGCTCCTCGTCCCAGTTCTGCCTCCAGGTTGTATATATACATGTGTAACCACATTTGCAAATATACAATAAGTGGAAATACATCGACATACATGCACATTCGCATGTATGTATAGATCGCAGGTGCATGTGTAGCTACAACAATAATGTCACGTCCAGGACAAGATGCCACTCGCATCGTCGATGCCTAAACATACGAACATAAACACAAATGTTGGCAGGTAGGTGACAAACACGCAACAACCAGGCTGCTGGCAGGCAAGCAACCACGCCAGCGCCCAAATCGTCGCAATCCCTCCACCCTCCAATCTTTGTATCACTAGACGGGTGGTCTATGAAATGACCATGACTTGAAGTGGATCGTCGCACACTCCTCAAAAACACCTCCATTGTCCCGTGGTGTATCTTGCGAAAAGACAGCTTCTCGCACATTCTCGCCGCGCAGTCTGCCGAGAAACGCCCAGTGGGTGGCGCGGCGCCTGTGAACAGGCGCGATCTCGTTCGCGTGGCTCATGCCGATGCCCCAGCGTCTTGCGGGGCTGTAGTCGGTGGCTCCCGTGGCGGCGCCCAAGGTCCAGCCTCCACGCCGGGGGATCGCGGCGGGGGCAGGTACAGCAGAGGGAAACAACTAGTGGACACTCCCCCTCCCCCCCAAACTCGAAGCTGGCACGCGCGGATGAGACTGCGGTCGAAGTGCAACTCATCAAACCCACCACCAACTTTGAACATTGGGGGGAGGGGGAGGCGTTGACCGATGAATGTGGCATGAATGTTCGCTATCTTTTTCCGAGGCCTGTATGCCGGGGAAAACGCAGGGCAACGCTGGGGGGAGGGCGAAGAGCTCTGCACTGCGCCCTTCGAGAGGCATCCTCGGGTCTGGATTCGCCACCTTTCCGTAGATATTGAGTGGAATGTCCTCGGGTCCCTTCGAGCTCTCTGCGTTGCGCATTGCGCACGCTCCGTACGGGACCCAGATTCTCTGTGCTCCAAGCACTCTTGGGCGCTCATTGCTTTCCTTGCGCGATTGCGCCAGAGGCCTGGGGAGCTTGACATAGGATCCACACTTCAACATGGATTAAGATGGTCCCGCGGCCCAGCCTGGAGCCCTCTTAGGGGCGTCTTCGGCTGCCTTAGAGACCCCTGGAGCCGGCCCAAAGAGGCCAAGATGACTGCACAGCCTTCGCATGTTGTAGGACTTTCGTTTCGCATGCTCGCATTCTCAGCCTGAAGCGTGTACAAGACGGCCTAAGAGGCCCCCCAGATCCCTGCGACGACGTGACAAATTTCCAGTTTGCCATCAATGACCACTGCTCCCCCCAACACCAGCCACCCAGGCGCACGCACTTTTCATAATAGAATGTGACATTGCTCGCTACAGAAAGCCGATTGCATCGTGAGTAGCGCAGCCAAACGTGAACGCTGAAAAGTCGACATCGGCCGAACTCGCACGCCATGAACTATCATCTCCATTTCTTCTCAATCTGACTCGCTGAGAATGGTTCAGCACTCAAAACTAGAAGTGCGCAACTCGATCTAGACGCAACAATAAGGGCCCTCACATGGTATAATAAAACATATTATTCCCATTCCGATCGCCGGGCCTCGACCTATCGAAACTGCCGTGTCACGTGCTGCCTCGGCATACCCAGCATTTGGCCCACGTCATGTCGTAATTTCATGTTGCCCAGCGCGACTTGGCACATCGCTTATATACCACTACATGAATTCTAACACATCGCCTGGCCTTCCCTTACCCGTCATAGTAGTTAAATCAAAAATATCGAATCCAAGCCCGCGTCTAAATTTAAACCACCACGGGGCGAGCAGAACCAGTGCAATAGAACACACTAAGCGGGTGCGCCCAGCAGAGTTGGAAGAATGCGCTAAGCTACCTGCAAGAGACGAGTCCATGCTTAGCTTCGGAGGGTGGGAATTGATGTGACGTGCATCCAGTCTGGTGAATGCGCATGCAACGGCGGCGAGGAACGACCCAATGTATCTGTTTACGTGAAACACCGTACCTCAGGCATCCGGATTGCGCACATTCCCATTCCATCACTGAGTGGGGCTGCATCGCCTACTGCTCATGCAAATTGATGTTCGACGCCGCTTGCAATTACGGCATGCCTGTTTGACACGCGTTTGTGGCTGCCCTGAACCTTACGGTGCAAACCTCCACATACCTAAATATACATATGGGCGGTTTCGCAAACCCCGAACCCAAAAACGTTTTCATCTCTTGGGGGCGCATGTTTTACTTCCGCCACCTCCCGCCGGCCTTTCGCCGGCTTCCGCCGGCGGAGGCGGCCTCGTTTTACTTCCGCCGATCTTCCACCGCCTTCCGCCGCGGAAGAGATGACAACTCCTTCGATCCTCGAAGGCAAGGCCCTTTTTGGAACGCCTCATGTGTGCGGAGGTATCAATTCTCGACGTCGGCGTTGCTCTTAGAGGCGAGAGTGGAGCAGCAGGGTTTGGGGGCCCCGTGCGGGGCCACAGGTCTGGCCGACATAGGCGCCTTGCCCCAAAACGCCTACCGCAGCCTCCCCGAGATGGCTGAGATCGGCCGAAGCTTCAGCCATATAGTGGGTCGAGACAAGGCAGGCTGATTGCAGTCGACGCGTATAGCAAGGATGCGCGATAAGCATCTTGGGCGCCCATGTCGAAGCTTCTCGAGCGGAGCGCGGCCAACGAGTGGCCAAGGATGGGGTGAGGAGGCAAGAATGCAAGGGTACTCTGAGGAAAATTGCCCATCCTTGATGTGCGGGTTGACTGTAGATCATTGTTGTTGCAGGCGCGCGTGCACATCATTCCCGATTGCACGACTCGCGGAGTACTGTACTGCCAGCGTTTGCTGTCAACTCCCCTCCTCTCGCGCTCCTGCAACGCCGCATCGGTCGGAGCATGAACCGTCATGGTAAACAGCCCACAAAGATTGCCAGAAAGCTCAAGCAAATGCTACCAAAATCTTGTGCGTGTCAGTGGACGTCCTCGCGAGCTTCAGGGGAGCCAAACCCTGTGCGATGTACACGGGAACGTCTCGGACCGTGACAAGGGGTCTGCAACCAGCTGCAGAGGTAGTGGAACTTCCGCCGAGAAAGACATGGGCGACGAGATGGTCGAGTAGGAGTTCAATGATTTCGCACAGGTATCGGGGGCGCGCAGACATGGATTAGCGATCCATGGATTTGGCGCACGGTCGCCAATTGCATGGATCGGGGGAGGTGCCCTCCCCAAAACGCGGCCGGTGCCGCCTCGCTCGGCGGCGGAAATCCCATGGAAACGGGACCCGTCGCTAATCCGCGCCCCCTTGATCCATGTTTGCGATCGCCTGAAGGTAGCCCTCCCCGTCGAGCTCCCTGGATCCAAGTCGTAGGGCCGACGATGTGGCAGACCTCGCATGGAGCCCCTGGCTGCTGCGGGCACATGCGGGCACCCAGAGTCCAAGACTGGCTATTGTTGGCGGGCGGGGGGGGAAGACGGGGGATGCTCGCTTGCTCAACGACGGAACGGGTCGGTGCCGCTCTCGATAGTGAAGGCGGGGGAGCAAGGAGGGAGGCTCCTAATCTTGCACCCAGCTCGTGGAGCTCTTATGGAGGTGCGAGTCAAGGGAGGACGGGCGAGAAGACAGGAGGGACAGGCGGCAGCCGCGAAGTATGAGGGGCTGCAACGGATAGGTTTGCCCCCCCCCCCCCCCCTCCCCCGCCGAAGTGGTGATGATGCGCCTGGTGAGGCGGCACCTTGGAGCCTCCCAGACCAAGCCGACCAACGGCCTGATCCTGATCCAGCCGCCAAATCCGTCCTAAACCGCGGCACACCCCACCCGGACCCTCCCCTATTGCCTCGTGGTTTCCCCATCCCTGTTCCTGCTCCCCCACATGCCGCCTCCTTCTCGATCCTACCTGGTCATCCTCGTTGCACGTACCCGTCGCCGATTCCGAAGCTATGACGAAAGGGTGACTCTCGGTTTGTCGAGCCTCCCTCGGAAGAAGACGCGAAGTATGAGGTTCCGCCACTCATTGAGGCAAGCGCTGCAGAAGGGGGCGGCGGGGGTAACAACATCACAACCAACATCTCCTGGCGTTGGCGCCGAGGCGTCAGCAGACGCGGCTCTCCCATATTGAAACTGGACGGAGCCTGCCAATGAGTTGTCACAGGGAGTCGACTCAGATACGTCTTGAGTATCGCCAGGCTTGGGTGGAGCCAGCATTTTGCATGTCTGAATATCTCGCCCGGCGTGTGTTTCCAGGAGCCTCGTGACGACTAGGGCAGCAGGGCAGCAGTGCGGCAGGTGGGCCGCAGTGGTTGGAAACTTGACCATCGCCGTGTTTAAGGACCCCCCAGAGCTCGGAAGGCCTGCTGAGGACGCGGCGCGGCTCCCGCCTCTGGTGGCCGCACTTGAGCCGCTCCAGTAGATCTTCCCAGCAGTGTGGGACCTGGGGTGTATTGGTGGGCGTCTCCCTGGGGTGCCTGAGCGATCTCATGAGAATTTCAGACCAAACCTCCCGCCGTTACGCTTGTTTACCATCCAGGGCGCCAGGTCGGGCCGCCTCCATGACAGGATCGTGGGTCTCCCCAGTCCCCCTCGAGAAGCAGGAATGGTGGCGGGGAGCAGCTGGCACTGCAAGGCACGCCATACGAATCGCACCTCAAAGTTATAGCCCCCGCAGCCGGCAGCAACACGCACTGAGGTCAGTCAAGGCATGCCTGCGGCACCCTAGCGCAGTATGCAGCTTGGGTCGTGGACATGGCTGCGGCCGGGGGACACAATTAGTGGGTACGCCCCCTCTCCCCCAAATTCGAAGTTAGCACGCCCAGGGAAGACTGCGGTCAAAATGCAACTCATTCAACCCATCGCCCACTGTGTTCATCGGGGGGGGGGCGGGCGTTGACAATGTGGCATGAGTGTTCGCGAATTTCGTCCGAGGCCAGTACTAATCGATCCAGAGTCCTACGTACATCTTCGCACGAAGGACCAGGCGCGCTGCGAAATGGAGCTGTGCCCTGATCAGAGCCCCCCAGTGTGTCTCAAGCAATGGGGGCTTTGCGCGCACGGTTGGGCCAAGAGGCTGAAAGAACTCACTTATGCTCCTATTCGGCGACGGCAGTGTACAAGGAACCATGGGATAAATAATCCCGGGTCTGGAAGCTGGTGGAACGCCACTTGAGTTTGGCCACGGATATCAACGCCGCCATCATCAGAGAAGGAATCCTGCAAGGTCTGAAGCATCCTGGGCACATTCCTGAACGAACGCCCTCGCCGTACGGTCACTCCTCCTCCTCCTCCTCCTCCTTCTCCTCCTCCTCCTCCTGCTCCTCCTGCGGGCGAGAAGGCCTATGCGGTCCAGGAGGCCTGGGACACCCCGCCACAGAAGCGGAGCTGGACTTTCGCATCTTGCCCGCGCGAAACTGAGGTGAGGCAACAAAAATCTCGATCTCGACCTCTGACACACTGCAGTTAAAACAGAAAGGGCCTGGCCACGCCAGCCTCTGCTCACGCTTGTCAGCTGCACGCGCAAGGGGGAGCACCGACGGGGACGGAACGATCGGTATCACCCTTCAGTCTCTAGACTGGGGGGCACTTCTCTGGTCTGGCCTCACCTCCTCTTGGACCCAGAGAGCTGCGGGGTCGGGGACACCGTCATCACCAGGAACAGCCCCCTATGATCTGCACTGATTTGAGCCTTTTCATACGAGGCTGTCTTCGGGGGGACCCACTCTGCGCTGCCGCAGAAAACAGCCAGCGTTCCATGGGATCTTCGGAGCTCTATTGGGTGAGAACTGCTTGAGGTTCATGTGAGCATTATTTGAGTTGTCTGTGCTCTGTTCGAGCTTAAGCTTATTTGGAGATTTGGTTGATCTCTGTTTGAACTTTGATGGAACTTTATTGGAGCTCTGTTTGAGCTTTGATGAGTTTTGTTGAAGCTTTGTTGGAGCTTTGTTTGGCCCTTGTTTGAGCTGTGTTTGATCTTCGTTGGAACTTTGTTGGGGCTATAGTTTAGCTTTCCTAGCTTTGTTTGCGCCTTGTTTGAGCTGGTTGCCAGCGAAGCGGGCAAGGCTGCAAGGCATAACGTGGACAATTCGCCCTTCCATCCTCTCTTCAGGTTCGAATTCCAGCCCCCCTCCCGGCCCAACCGGGGGAGAAGGGGAGGGGGTCCCCTGGTTCTAAGTGGTTGTAGTTTGTCCCATTGAGACAAATTACAACCACTTAGAACCATTACCAACCAGCTTGGTTCACATTGCAACCCCGTTGGTGCAAATTGGCGGGCGTGGTCTCGCAAGCCCGGCTGGGCCACCACATTTTGCTCGCAACTTCAAGAAAGAAACAGTCTCCCTCTCTCTCTCTCTCTTTCGCTCTCTGTCTCTGTCTCTGTCTCCGTCTCTGGCTCTGGCTCTGGCTCTCTCTCTCTCTCTCTCTCTCTCTCTCTCTCTTTCTGTCTGCTGCCATCTGGAGGCCATCCTGGGCGATTGGCCACTCGGGTTCCTCTCTCTCTCTTTCTCTCTCTCTCTCTCTCTCTCTCTCTCTCTCTCTCTCTCTCTCTCTCTTTCTGTCTGCTGCCGTCTGGAGGCTATCCTGGGCGATTGGCCACTCGGGTTCCTCTCTCTCTCTCTCTTTTTCTCTCTCTCTCTCTCTCTCTCTCTCTCTCTCTCTCTCTCTCTCTCTCTCTCTCTCTCTCTATCTCTCTTTCTCCTCTCTACTTCTCGCGCTCTCTCTCGCTCGCTCTCTCCTCTCTCTCTCTCTCTCTCTCTCTCTCTCTCTCTCTCTCTCTCTCTCTCTCTCTCTATATATATATATATATATATATTCTCTCTCTCTCTCTCTCTCTCTCTCTCTCTCTCTCTCTGGTCGCGCAGCAGCGGCAGCGGCGGCGGTGGGCGTAGCTGGCAATGCCAGAGGCAGCGGCAGGGGTGGCGGCGGTGGCGGCGGCTCTCGCAGTAGTGGCAGTGGCAGCGGCAGCCGCGGCGGTTGTGCTTGTGGGGGCCTCAGGGCTTCGGAGCCACAACAGAGGGTCGCAAATGGGGATTTCTTGGCTCTGCGCAGGGCGTCCCCTGCACGGCGCTCATGTGCCTAAATTCCACGCTCCCGGCGTGTGCAAAGCCCCCATCGAAACTAAATCGCTTTACTTGCGTAGGTTGCTTCCTACAGGGATTTCCGTTGCAGCTGCAATATCACTACATTTTGGGAGTCCCAAGGGTGTTTTCTGGCTCCATTCTGGGGATCCTCCACAGTTTCACCGAAGCCCTGCCGAGGCAGTGTTGGGGGCTGTGCTGCGCGGCGTGGCGCGCTGGACCTCAAGGCCCACAGCAAGCACAGGCACAGCAGCTGCAGGCACCTCTCTCCGCAATGGGGCAAGCAGATGATGCCCCCCTTTCCATAAAAAAATCATGACATTGTAGTGAAATGGGGCAGACATTCTTCCACAATCTGACCTACTTGGGTTCAATTCCTGGTGGTGCCTTTGGGGCCGCTCCAAGGCGCAGCAGCTGACAGCAGAGCGGGGCGAGCACTGCTGCAGGACCGCGGAGAACCCTGCGCACACGGCCGCGTGGGAGGGCACGGGGAGCGCCAGAGGCGATGGTACTACACCGCACACAGGCCAGGCGGCAGAATTCAGACAGCGACTCAAGCCGATCCGCGCCGCCGAATACGATGCCTCGAGCGCGGAGAAAAACGAACCGCGCGAAGTCGATGCGGGTTTTTTGGGCAGCTCTCCCGGCAGCTCTGCGCCGCGGCGGCTGGGCCGGGGCAGGACAGAGCCACCTCGGAGGGCGAGCTTCGGCTGCTGATGCTGAGCGGGCCTGGGCGCCGACGGCGACGCAGGCGCCGGCGACAGCCGCGACGAGGACCACAACGACCACGACGACGACGGCGAACGACCACGACGACGACGGCGAGCGACCACGGCCTTCGGGGCCTGGGGGTGCAGGGCGGGTTCCAGCGAGCTGCGGATTGCCCGTGCACCTCCCGCGCCCTGGGAACAACAGCAGCTTCGTGGGGGCTGGGCTGGCTGGGCGCGGCCCTGAGGCAGCCGCGGGGCCAGGCATCTGGAAGCGGAAAAGGAGGCAACGCACACAACAGCCGGGCCTCTCCGCTGCCGTCTGAAGGCTATCTTGGGCAATTTGGACCGATCGATCGGCGACTCGGGGTTCTCTCTATTTCCCTCTCTCTATTTTTCGCGTTCTTTCTCTTTCTCTCTCTCTCTCTCTCTCTCTCTCTCTCGCGCTCTCTCTCTCTCTCTGTCTCTCTCTCTCTGACGCGTGCAATGATGACAGAAACCGCGTTACTTGAAAAGGGGTCGCGCTCCAATGTCTATTAATTGGCAAGAACCTGGCCGTGGCTGCGAGGGAGGATTGCACCCAAGCGGGCTCCGTGACAGAGGGGATGGTGCACTGATGAGCGCTAGGTGTGCTCGCGCAGATGGTGGGAGCGGTGGCAGCGGCGGGGGGCGAGGGTAGCTGCAGCATTGGCCAGCATTGGTGGCCCCAGAATTTTGTTAGAAGCGGTTGTCACTGCTTCGTTTGCTGCCGACGTGGGATTAGGGGGCGCTGCGGAGGCGGCGGCAGTGGAAGTAGCGGCAGCGGGGCGGGGGGGGGGGGCAGCCGTGAGGCACAGGCGGCGATGGCGGCAGCATTGCTGGGGAGCTGCAGGTGGTGGTTTTGGCGAGTGATCTCCCCCCCCAAGGAACGCATGTTTTTTCCGCAACCGCGGGCGTGGCCGTCCTGCCCTGCTGGCCCCCGT